TTTTTTTTTTTTTTTTTAAATGTATGACTTTTTCACTTGGTTCAGTCTGCTCACTGGGTTGGGGGGCATTTCATGTCCATAGGGATGTGTTCTCTGGGAGTTCTTTCTCTACAGAGCCTTCCATTCTGACACATCTCAGTAAAGCTCTCCTCTAGCCCTGAAATTCTTGCACACAACGAACTCCTGCTTCTGGAACTAGAAGATCAACTCCCTAAGGGTAGAAGCCAAGTCCTGCCCTTTGTGCCTGTGGACTCCATGCAACCCCCAAGGGGGTCAGGCTCTGTGGCCTTCAAGGCTGACACCCAGGCTTGGGCCAGGGGAGTGTCAGAGGCTTCCAGCCAGCCTTACCTCCACGATCATCTTCACGGTGGGCAGCGTCGTAGCGATGTTCTGTGGGTGTGGTGGACGGACGGTGATTGGCACGCAGCCTGCATACAGGCAGCCATAGAAGGCTGCGATAAGGTCTATTCCTACACGGGGAGAAAAGCTGAAGTTCTCATGTGTGACAGACGCACCATTTAATGGCTATCAGCAAATAGCCAGTCCAGAAAATTCAGAAGGTGAAGTGAGCATCTGAGGCTGACCAAATTCATTCTTTGCCCCTGTGGTTTTGGTGGCCTCACCAATCACTTCTGTTCTTTAAGACACAAGATGCCAAAAGCTCAATTTCTGTCATTTTGCTAAGGAATTACGCAACTGTACGATTATCAATTTAGTAGTTAAGGATTTAAGTAGCAGTGATTAAGTAACTACCCCAGGTAGCTACAAAAGCAAATTTGGGCACAAAAGCCTATGAAAACTCCCTTTATTTAAGCCTCCACATGTTTGCGTGGGGCTGGCACTATCAGCAGAGTCAGCAGACCCAGTGGAAACAGTGTCCCCAGGTGCTGTCCTGCCATGCCTGGACCTTCTGGGTCTGCTCTTTACCTGGGGGGTAGACGAGAGCTACGTGGTCCCCATCCTGCAGGTGTCCCCTTTCCATCAGCATCACTGCTATCTTCTCCGCTCGTTTGTGAAGCTGGACACACGTCAACGAGTTCGCTATTGTACCCTGAGTCACAAGAAATGGTTAAGATTCTTTCAATGGGACAGTTTCACTGAGATATACAGCTCTCACACACACAACTCACTGATTTAAAATGCTCAATGAAATGGAATTCAGTATATTCACAGAATTGTGCAACCTGCACCATGGTCAGACATCTAGATATATTTGTGTTAACAGGAAGTATTTTTTTTTGACAGGAAGTATTAAAAAAATAATTTCTTGAACTAAGACCTAGCTAAATTTACAAAATAATTCAACACAATAGTTCTGGGATTTAGTGTGACTGCTATGAGCAGTTAAGAATTAGCAGTAAGGCTATAGAACTTGTACTAATGATTTAAAAAAAAGACTGAAAATGTTTTAAGAAAAACCACATCAAAATTCAAGGGGTAAACACCCACACACATGTCAAAAATATAATGAACACTAAATAAAAAAAAAACGCTTACAGTTCACTTTATGTAGAGTTTTTAAACATGTAGAAACAAGTAGAAAACACAATTGTATTGAAAAGGGCCATTGGGATTTACTATTTCAACTGTAAAGAAAAGGTATGTAGATAGTGCAAGCTATAAGCATACTACAGCTAACCAAAAAAAATTTCCTGGGGATGTACAATTATAGTTCATTTGTACAGTTGTTTAAAAGCTGCTTCTTTATAGTCAAATCCTATTCCTCAAGCAACAGCAAACTCACTAGCAATATACAGGGTCAAGAAGACTACAGAAACTGAAGTTCAATCATGGACAATCCCGGCCAAAGAGTTTCTATTTAGGGAGGTAACTTACAGAGAGAGTGGGCGAGCTGTTGAGACAGAAGACTTTTGGGGGGCTGGACACAAGCTCTGATGAGTGGTCTGTTCACAAATGCCAGGTGTGGGGAAAGAAGTCCAAAGGGAAGTGGTGAACAGCCAACAGTTGGACAGAGGAGAAGGTTGTGTGGAAGGAAGAGACCAGAACCTCTGGGATAGTATCAGGAACGTTGGGGGAAGCATTTAAAATCTAAGAAAAATTGACTGTTACTTTTGCTGCTTAGTTTATGGATATAATGTCATGTGTTATTTTATTTTTTTTGATTTTTTTTT